GTCTGGCTCACAGATACACACCCAATGAAAGAATAGCCCATTCTAAGCTTTTACTTGTTGTAAAACAAATGTTTAAATAACTCTATTCAACTAAAAATATTATTACACTTAATAACAATAAAAGCAGCAAAACTGATAAACTGGAAAAAATATAATTTACTCTTAAATATGATTAGGTATTTTGATCATTAAACTTATCTTAACAACAATAAAAATAATAACTAGAAGAAATTGATTTAAATTCTTTTAACACACTATCTTCATTTTCTCTACTTTTATGATAATAATTCTTGAAACTCAAATTGTACTTCAGGTTTGTGAAACAGGAGCTTACTTCTTCCATATGACTAACTTCTAATCATTTTTTGTTGTTTTGTAAAATTGCTTTGAGAAAATAATGAGCCACATCTTTAACTGCTTATTCATATGTAAACAAATCCTTTTTTTCACAGGAGATAATTCTTTAAACACTTAGCACAAAGTAAAAATGAACACAGTGCTTGAGAGCAATAACTAACACTTGCAAATTGTCTATAAAAAACACAAAACATGGTACTTAGGTAAAACTAAAAAATAAACCATAATATGATGGCTACTAATTTTAAGTTTTGTATATTATGTATAAAAAATTTATTGATTTAAACTTATACTGAACAACAGACTAACAATAACGGCCCCAATTATCAGGAAACATATGGAATTCAGAATCCTTAGGTGGTCCATTATGGAAAACAGGTTGGGCTTCTTTTTCAAATATTCCAGCCAAGAATCCACCTCCCCATTCTCGCACATATGAGCCAATATTTTGATCTCTCATAACTATAACACAATAAAACAATGAGATACATATCACAACATGATAAGTATTTAAAATTTTATTTTACAGGGATTTTATTAATCAACAGAGCAGCAGATCAGTATGTCATTTCAGACCAAGTTCTAATAAACACACATAAAAAAACTTTAAATTCATTTATAATCTGAAAATATATTGGAATTTTTTACTAGAACTTCAGTCTTTTGAAAAAATACAAAACCCTAAATTCTTTAATAACAATGATCACAATCTGTATAAAAAAAATCAGTTTGAGCAAAAATCTAATTATAATAAAGTGTGAATAATTAGGAGAAACAGCAACCTTTTAACTGTTTCTGGCTCCCTATTAGTTTGTCAGGTTTTAATGTCCAGCTAACCAGCCTTGATGAAATAGAAGATGCCCCGCCTAAACAGACCTGCTAATCTAATATCCTGTAGCTCCAACATTTTCCTGGGCTGAGATGGGAAAGGGTTGGGGTGGGTTATTGCCCTCTCAAACATTTTTAGTAGTTTACACACAAAGAATCTAGGCAAACTTGTATAAATCTTCCATAAACATTTTCTACACATTTGGCTACAGCTTCCATTTCCCCACAGATACCACAATATTTGTAGTTGGCACCAGCAAGATGTAATAACTTAGTGAGACTGAGATAAAATTACAATAACAGTACCAATCATTCAATAGTTTAAAGCAGTTAATTTCAGCATTTTTTCCACATTGTAATACTGCAAAGAAAATTTCTGTGTTATTATGAAAATTTGAAGCTAGGACAACATGAACATTTTCAAGTTTTTTTCTTATGAAAGAGACAATTAAATAACCAGCAGCAGCACTGGACTGCCAACAATAGGGTTTTACAACACCTCCAGGCCAAGCCCCTTTATCAAAAGCATCAAATTTTGATAGCATTTTAGAGTCAGCACAGCAAGAGGATGATCTATCTTTGAATGCAGTGAAAACACCCTCTCACATGACCACTGATATGACTGAAATAGATTACATCACCAGCCTACTGTTCTTGGAAGAAAATGCAACACACCAACTCGGATATATTTGTTTGCTTTAAAAAAAAAAAGTTTGGGAAACACAGTCATACCGTTTCTGTTAGATTAAAATCCTTGAATTGAATATTCAGTTCAATAAGATAAAGTTTTCTGCTTTCAATGGCATCATTTCCATACACAGACAAGTTACTTGGATGATTCTTTATTAAAAACAGTGTGAGAGATTGGAAAAAGCTGTCTGAAAAATTGTCTAAGGACGTATAGAAAGTAACAATGCTATCGGCATCATGAAGATACTGGTTCAGTAGTTAGAAAGCTTTCAGCAAGTCACAAAACTATTGCTGAGTTTTGTTTGTTTGTTTGAAATTAAGCACAAAGCTACACAATGGGCTATCTGTGCTCTGCCCACCATAGGCAACGAAACCTGGTTTATAGCATTGTAAGTCTTCAGACATCCCGCTGTGCCACTGGAGGGCCTACTGTTGAGAGAAACAAGGATTATCTTACAAAGGTCTGTGGTATAATCAAGTTATTTTACAAACTTGGTTTACCTTTTCGAAGGAACAGTGGAGGAAAATAATTTAGATAGAAAGGGAATGTCCTTCAATTTTGTGATTTCTTTTCAAAGTATGATGAATCTTTCAAAAAAATGCAGAAAGGTTATTTTAACTACACAAACCCTGAATTTCACAAAAAAGTGATGTAGATTTGGGCTGATTTGATTTGCAAAGAAATTGTAGTGGCAGTGAATAAGACTGGTTTCTTCATCATAATTGCAGATAAGGTCAGACTTTATAGAACATAGCACCTTTCATTTACATTAAATCACAGAAAATCTAGAAATCAAAGAAAGGTTTTGTGTTTCATCAACTGTTCATCTTCATGAAATACGAACAACATTTCTAGTGCTACAAAGAAAGGTTTGGAAATACATGGATTGCAAAATCTGCAGATAGTTGCACAGTTTTATGATGGAGTTCACAAGCAGACAAAAAAAAAGACATCCATCAGCAATTTACGTACATTGCATAGAACACATTCAAACTTGTGATTGGAAAACGCTGTAAAGTAACACATACTGCTGATGGGTTTTTCAACATAATTGAGAAATTGTATTCTGTTTTTGCTGAGCCAATGAATCACTAAATGCTTCTTTCTGTGCAAAAAGTTTTGGATCTAAATAATCAAGAGATTGCGAAGCACAGAAAAACATGTTTGGCATAAAGTGCAAAAGTGTGTTTGTGTAAAAATGCAATACAGCACCATCATGCTGCATTTCAAGTAACTTGCTGAACAAGAAGAAAAGTGTTCTGTGGAAGCAGCAAGTGGTCTTTATCAACATATGCACAGAGTGCAGTTTGTTCATGATTAATTACTTAATGTAGAAAGGAGTTACAGAATATTGCCAAAAGCATAACACTGCAGTGCCAGATGAAGATATAGAACCTCCAAAAAGAAAGAGTCATCTAAACGTCAGCAACTCTCAAAGCCTTCATTGTACCAAAGAACTATGGATCAAAGAAAGGGTGTAAAACAGGTGGTAAATACATCTAAAGTATCCAACAAGGTTGTAAGTGTACCTGAAAAAATTGTTGGCATCAGCAGTCATAACTTTATGGTTTGGATGCCATAACTGAAGGGGTAGAAAGGCAATTCTCAAGAGAATCAATAGCAATTTCTAGAGCCTGTGAATCAGTGTTAAAGTGCAACAACTTAATTACTAATTACCCTTTATATTATCAGAATTAAATTCAAGCTTTGAAGAATATCATGACCACATAGTGTAAATTTTTCATGTTTTATTTTCCAAGTTTTACAATATCTTTTTTTTATAAATTCCTTTGCATTATCAAAGAACTTACTCACTTCACAGCATCATCATTTCCTGCGCTATGATTGCCTACTGGTGGTATCCAATGGAATTCAGTGATTAACACAAGGGAAATAATAATTAGAACGAAAAAGAACATGAAAAAATGCTCTGGTATGCAAACCATGTTGAAAATGTGCAAACTCAAAAGAACTGGTATCCTGGTTAAAAGTAACTCCTTTCCTATTTGCAAAACAACTCTTATAGTTTGTATAAACTCCAAAAACCTTTCAACACTACAGAGATGTCTCCATAATTTCACACTGTACTTATCTCTGTAGAATGCCACTTTAGCTTCATAACTTACAAATCAGGACAAAATTGGTAAAACAAAGGAACTAAAAATTCAGATATAAAATAATTTTTTTAAAAGTTTTATCACCACAAAACATTTATGTTAAGGTATTAGCTGTAAGTGAATGATAGGTGATATATATATATATATATATATATATATAATCTTATGTACCATAACACCGTACAAATAATGACTTTGTACAAGTAACACAAAAACAATCATAAGCCTGATAATAGCTAGACATCTAAATAAAAGTCTATACTTCCCAATTTACCCCTGATGCACAAAGATCCACCTTTCAAAAGTGCTTAGGTTATAGGGTTTTTTTGGTTTTAATTTGTCTTAGAAATTTTGCAAATCTCAATGTTTTCCTAATATCATGAATAAAATTCTATACTATAATTAAGGTCCCAGTTCCATTACTAGAACTAATCATTTCAAATAATTAACCAAAGTCATCAATCAAGAGTTATGATACAGTAGTTATTTGGATGTCATAAGTGATTGTGAGATAACTAAGTTCCATGAAATACTTTAATGACTGGCTATAAATGACCTAACTCAGCCAGTATGTCCATTTTAAACTAAACATCAAAATATATAACATATGAAAGGTGAATAAGCTGTAATAAATCATTTCAATATAATCTCTTAGTATAATACAATTTTGCTTGCCTTTTCAGTAAATAAGGTCGACTCTCTCCATTCATTGAAAATGTGTTTAGCTAGCCAAGACTGTTTACATCTAAACATTAAATATAACAAATTGTAATACCTGGATGCATGGTGTCAACTCCTTCTATTGGTTTAGTAATCAAATAGAAATGTTCTGCTGAATGGAGTGGAACATTAACTGGGGGTTGGATTTGGGTTCCTAACTCTCTTGTCCACTATTGACATGAATAAAAATAACAAGCTTTGTTGCAACTGAAACAGTTTCACAAGTAAACGAATTGCTATATTATCTCACTGATCCAATCAAGAGACATAATAAATATGACAGTACACTCAATTATAATTGATATAAAACTATAGGTATGTTGGAGCTATATACATAAGATTGAAAACAAATAAATGACAAATTATGTTACACAGAAAAAGAATCCTATCTCCACTATCTTTAGAATAATTTATCTTTTTTACTTTCCAACATATGTGACATGAGGAAATAAAATTAATAAGATCTATGAATTACAACTGCTATTATTAAAGCCTAATGAATTTCCAGTTTATGTGGAAAAACTCTCTATTTTCTGAAATGTATAAAAGTAGTCTTATAAGATCTTTTAATAATAGAAAGCTTAAAAAATAAAACGTTTAAAAATAGAAGAGAAACATTTTCAAATTTCGAATTATATCATATTGCAAAACGGATATGTGAATCAGTGTCCAAAATTCACAAAAATTCTAATTGGTCAATTCTATGAACATGTATGTATGTATGTATTAGGTCATCAAGAAATTAATGTCACGTTTTGGTCCATTTTCATTAACCCCCCCCCCCAAAAAAAACGTACATCACGTATAATAGTTAAACAAACTGCCTAAACATCACGTTAGTGTAGCCTATATAATGTGTAAAGTTTAATATACTCTAATCCCTTATAGTGATGGTACATGACGAGACACACATTCGATATGTAATGCTCTTTGAATACAAGGTGGGAAATAATGCCTATGCAGCCACAAAGAACATCAAAGAAGTTTACGGAAATGTTTTAAATGTTCGTAAGTGTCAACGATGGTTCAGCAAATTTCGTTCAGGTGACTTTAGCCTTAAAAACTGTGATTGCAGGGGCTAACATGTAACTGATATTGATGCTCCGAAAACGCTTGTTGAGTCTAACCCAAGGTAACACACTCGTGAAATGGCCCTGAAATTGCATGTCTCTCAT